ACATGTTCGAGGCCGTGGGGTTGGCTGCTCCGAGAGCCCCGTGTGGTGGCACGCAGGGCACAGCAGTTACCTGTCCCTGCAGCTCTCCTCCAGCCACGGGCAGACCGTGCACGTAGAGGGTGAGCGCTGTCCCTGCCGTTCTGCCACAGGGCAAGGACCTGACGGGGTTAGGCAAGAGAGTAAGAGATGTTGGACATCTCCTTTTTCTCGCAGCGTTTGTGTTTAGGCCCCCCCCAGCCTGACTGATGGACACTGACGTGGGCAAAGCAGATGTTGCCCTCCCGGTAGCTGGGCTGTGGTTTGGAAGCCAGGGAAGAGGCCGTGGCTCCGCTTGTGCAATGAGGGGTGTGATCCCCTTACCTGAGGGTCACATCTGACCAGCTTCGCTTCCTCCCCAGGATCGCATGCTCCATGCCGTTCGGGGTGCTCTGCTACTGCATGCTGTGGTCCACCCTCTCGGATGCCACCCCCGCCTCCCTGAAATTCCTGTGGTACCTGTTCACCTACAGCTTCTTCCAGACTTGCATGACTGTAAGGAACGTGGTGCCTGGGGCTGACTGTTCTTACACATCACCCTGTACCCCAGGGGATGGCGACGCCGTCAGCTGGGGAGTCCCAGCCTCTCCCACAACGCGGAGCGGAGTTTGGGAAGCAGGGAGGGATGCAGGATGGTGCAGACCATGCCCACAGGGGTGGTGAGATGGAGGGGTGCGTTTTAACACTGGGGATTCGGCTGATGTGAACTTCTCCATCACCGTTTGTGGGAGCAGAGCAGGTCACGGGAGGGTGAAAAGGCACTTGGGTGCAGGGGTGACACAGAAGGCTGCTGTGAGGAGGGACAAGGAGGGTCGTGACCAGCAAAGCGGGAAGCAGCAGCCGGAGCTGTGTCTGAACTGTGCTCTCCCTAGTGCTACCACGTGCCGTACTCTTCCCTGACAATGTTCCTCGGAGGAACCCAGAAAGACCGTGACTCAGCCACTGCCTACAGTAAGTGTCCGTGCTCCTACAGCCCCCGGAAGGCTGCCTTCCTGGGAGATCCTTCCCGGAGGAGAGGCGAAGAAATTCCTCTGGCTGTGAACAGGCTGCAGAGGGGACGGGATAAAGCAGGGCTGAAACCATCTTCTACAAAGAACTGACCTGCAGAGACATTCCTTAGATCCATATCATCCCTAGGGGGCTCAGGACATGGATTTATTGGGTCCAAACATTACAGCATTTCCTGTGGGAGCCAAGGGAAAAAGTCAGAGCACATAGGAATAGCAGGTCTCTTCTGGGACAGCTCTGGTTGTTGGTGCCTCCAATTACATCCCCAAAGCTGGTCTCTTATCCTGAGGGATGTGTCCCTTCAGCCAGGGAGTGGGACTGAGGTTTCTCTCCCGGTCATCCCGACAGGAATGGGGATGGAGGTGTTCAGCACGCTCCTCGGGTCGGGAATCCAGGGACAGATTGTGGGCAGTTACCATGCCCGCATGATGAATGGCTGTTACATGTCAAACGAGACCCTGCCCAACACCAGCAGCCACAGCCTCACGGCCTCTCTGGAGAACACGGTGAGGCTGTCCTGGCTGTCCCTCCGCTCCTCCCGGAAGCTGTGGGGCAGGTGCCGCTGGCTGTGCTGCCAGCCCTCTGCGTGGTACCCGCTGTGGCACTGTGCACCGTCTCTCGTTTTCCAGCGTAGGGCGTACGTGTTTGCATCCCTGGTCCTGGGCTCAATCTACTGCCTGTCCTGTCTGATTCTCATCTTTGGAGTCAGGGAGCAGCCTGGTAAGGTCCTTTTAGATGCCGTTTGGCGGGTGCCCGGTGGCAGAGGACGGTGAGGATGGGGTTGCAGAGGAAGGTGTGAGGCAGAGGGAGCTGGGCACCTACGTGCGGGATGGTGCGTGGGGTTCACACATACGGATGCTGACACCCCCCTTGGTTTGTGCTGGCAGCGTCTTGCTCCGGCAGAGAGGGGCGATGCTTCGGAGGAAGGAAGGCTGAGGCTGGCTGGGAGACACTGTGGGCCTGGGAGCTCACCGCGTACCCTGAGCGGGTCTCGCCAACACGCAGCCTGCAGAGCTACGCAGGGTGGAGAGGCAAAATCCTGCCCGCAGCTCACCCCACGGCTATTATGTCTGCTCACCCCAGATGCCGCGGCACAATTCCATGCCTCCCACCCCCATGGGGTTTGTTCTGGCAGCTCCAGTGCCAGCGTTGCTCTGTCTCCCCCCAGGGCCCCTCAGCCCGCTGGGGAAGGTTGAGCTGCCCTTTGCCAGCTGCCTGAGGATCATCGTGAGACACAAACCCTACACCCAGCTGCTGTGTGGCTTTCTCTTCGCCTCCCTGGCCTTCCAGGTGTGAGACCTGCTGTGGTAGGAGCAGAACTTGGGGGATGAGATGTCTGGGCAAGTTATCTAGCCAGTGAATTTGGGATGCCAGCCATGAACGTGTCCGCATTGCTTTCCCAGATCACTCAGGGCGTCTTTGCCTTCTTCTGTACTCATGCCGCAGGGCTGGCCGGGAAGTTCCAGCATTTAGTGCTTATCATGTTGGTAAGTGAGCCCCAGGCAGCCCTTCCTGATGGAGGGGTTGATCCCTGGGTTACCCCAGCCCTCGAGCGTGGGCAGCTCGGCCTCGTGGAGTCATGTGCTGCTGCTTCTGCCCGTCAGCAAGGACGTCACCCAGAGAGAGACTGGGGGGCACTGCTGAGGCTCCCCTTTGGTTCTCTCCTCAGGTCACTGCTTCCCTCTGTATTCCCTTTTGGCAGTGGTTTTTGGGGAGATTTGGAAAGAAAACAGCAGCGTCCCTGGGCCTGGCGGTGAGTTTGCCCATGGTTGTAGCTGCGGACTGAGAAGCCCGGCGAGGGGACAGCCGTGTCCCCAGCTCTCGTGGTGCCTGGAGAGGAGAGCTGGCTGGCACCTGAGGGTGGTCCTGAGCACCGTGTCCTGGTGACCAGGCTGATGCACTTCCTCGCGCCTGGCATCCGTGGCCACGGCTTTGCAGAGCTTTGCCGTAAGGTGCAGGGAGGCCGAGGGACTGTCCCTGGGATGGCTGGGAAATGTTTTTTTTGCAGCATCACCCAACCAAGGGCTCGGGCTCTGAGCCCTCATGGCTGCAGATGTGGTGAGCAGCGGGTGAGCAGGTTCTGCAGCACTGCACCAGCCTCACGTGCACACGCAGACCCCGCGGCCCCTGTCCTGCTCCCGGATCTGCCGTCCAGCTCGCTGCAGGGCGCGGGGAGGGGAGGAAGGGCTGTGCGCTGCGCTCGGCAGTGGCTGGGATACAGCCGGCTCATCAGACACATCCGGCTGCTGCCTGGTCTGCGGGTCAGCGCGGAAACCCCGTCTGGCTTTTGTTCAGAATTAGGTCCTCTGATCCTGCTGAGGGTCTCTCTCCAGCTTCATTCCTCAGGCATATTTGGGTGCAGCCATAGCAGATTCAGCTTCCCAGCTAACTGCTCGGTTCTGTTGCCCTCCATGGCCATCCTTTTTACCCACGAGGAAGGTTTTGCTGCCAGTGGCAGGGCCTCCACGCCGCCCTGCGCAGGGGAGAGGAGCGGTTTTCTGTTTGAAACGTGCGGGGCAGCGTGGCCGTGGCTGGGGCAGTTCTGCTGCCTGTGAGCAGCAGAAAAAAGGCCCATTGTGCTTTTGTTTCTCTCCCGCTGCAGCTGATCATCCCGGCCCTGGTAGCCATCACCCAGGTGATGCACAACTTCCTGGCTTTCATCTTCCTGGTGATCATGGCCGGCTGCAGCATGGCTGTGCTCTACCTTTTGCCGTGGTGAGCAGAGGCACCTCCGAGCCACTTCTCAGGCGGAGAGGAGGGAAAGGTTTTGGTGAAAGCACCATCCGTGGGGTGCCAGGGCTGCTCATTTGTTCGATACAGCAGCTTCTGGACTGCAGAGGAGGAGGTGGGAGTGGGAGGGGAAGTGGATGTGATGCAGATCCAGTCTGTGCTGGGGCTCTGCAGCAGGACCCCAGTCATTGCACAAGGTGCTGCTTCTCTCCTCTTTTCCCGCTGTGGCTGCTGCACCCGTAGGATGCTCTCTGCCCTGTCTGCCCTAGGGCAGAGGACAGGCACCAAATGCGCTCCACAGTGGGGTTCTGCGGGTGTTTCTGTCTCTCTCTGCTGCTCGGAAAGGCCTTGGAGCCGCCACAGCTGAATTCAGCCAGTGCTGGCGTGGGTGTCACGGCCGTGTCCGTGAGACTGTCTGTCCCCAGGTCAATGCTGCCGGATGCAGTGGATGACTTCATGCTGAGGAACCCCAGCTGCCTCAACCTGGAGCCTCTCTTCTACTCGTTTTACGTCTTCTTCAACAAGTTTGCGGGTGGCCTTGCCGTGGGGATATCGACACTGAGCTTACAGTAAGCCCCAAACACAACCTCCTCCCCTGCCTCACCAGCCCAGCACGGGCCCTTCGTACTGCTGCTTCCAGAGTGTCTGACAGGAGACGCTGGAATGAGTCACAGGGGAATCCAAATTTGCCATCCCAACATCTAGTGGAAGCAAGAGGCGCAGCCAGGAGTCGGAATTCCCCAAAACTGGGTGTCTGACCCTAGGGGAGAGCGACGTAGGTGCCCGCTGGCCTTCCCGCAGTGAGCCGGTGGGGCTGAGGGAAGGAAAACCCTCCTCTTTTAGTTTTGCAGGTTACCGAGCTGGAGACTGCGCGTCCAACCCCGCCGTCACCCTCACCCTGCAGCTTCTCATGGCCCCGGTCCCGATAAGCCTGCTGCTCATTGCCATTGTCACCTTCTGCCTCCACCCCATCGACGAGGAGAGGAGGAAGCAGATGAGAGCAGAGATGGAGGCAGTGGGGTAAATTCCGGCTCCGTGAAGGAGCTGGGTGTCCGCGTTGGTCCCAGCCCGACACTGGAATGTTGTGCAGAGGAAGGACTGTGATGTCCAGTCCAGGTCCCCGTGCCTGGGCTACAATCCTCTCTGGGGGTGCATTTCCCAAAGGGTCCCATCGACGAGGAGAGGAGGAAGCAGATGAGAGCAGAGATGGAGGCAGTGGGGTAAATTCCGGCTCCGTGAAGGAGCTGGGTGTCCGCGTTGGTCCCAGCCCGACACTGGAATGTTGTGCAGAGGAAGGACTGTGATGTCCAGTCCAGGTCCCCGTGCCTGGGCTACAATCCTCTCTGGGGGTGCATTTCCCAAAGGGTCTGTTCAGCCTGGAGAAGGGAAGCTCCAGGGAGACCTCAGAGCCCCTTCCAGTGCCTGGGGGGGGACAAGAAAGCTGGAGGAAAAGGGCAGGGAGTGACAGGACAAGGGGTAATGGGTTTAAAAGGAAATAGGGAGATGGAGATGGGACATCAGGAAGGAATTCTTCCCGCAGAGGATGGGGAGGCACTGGGACAGGTTCCCAGAGAAGCTGTGGATGCCCCATCCCTGGGAGTGTCCAAGGCCAGGCTGGATGAGGCTTGGAGCAACCTGGTCTAGTGGAAGGTGTCCCTGCCCATGGCAGGGGGTGGCACTGGGGGGGCTTTGAGGTGACTCCCAACCCAAACCATTCCAGGCTTCTGTGGGTTTGGGTGCTGCTGACTCTACAGCAGATGTCACGAGTGCCCGTGTTCCTTCTAACAGGCACCAGGCGCAGCGCAGCAGCCGAGAATGAACCCAGGGCCGAGGTGGGTGAGTTCATCGCGGAGGACGCGGATTTGCTGCGCTGTCAGGATGTGCTGCTCTTGGGAAAAGTCATCGCTTCCTGTTGGTTCCTCTTCCCTGTCCAAATGGCCTCTTTTGCATCCTGACCTCTTCCCTCTCTCAGCTGGCAGGCACAGGATGGGGAGGGGGTCCTGCTGCAGCCCCAGCCCTGCCACCTCACCCGAGCTGCTTTCGCCAGGGCTTGCCCTCCCAGGTCTTTCGGCAGGTCCTGACAGGTCAGGGCAAGGCAGATCCGCACTCCCCTCCTGGGAGAGACTGCAGTGCCGGGGAGGAAGGGCCCCCGCCAGCCCCAGAGCAGTGCTCTTGCACGCTGGGGTGTCACTTAACCTTGTGGGAAAGCCTGCACAATGAACACCGGGATTGTTTTTTGAGAGGAAAGTATTTTTGACCAGTTTGTAGGAAAAATACCGCCAGGAGACCGCATGTCTTTGTGCTTAGACTGCCCTTTCACAGGGAAAGGTTTCAAATTTCCGTGGGCAAGGGTGAAGTTCAAGCTAGCAGTGTGTTACAGCTGGTGCCCGAGCAATGCCGCCTGGCAGCAGGGTTGGTGGAAGCCAGCTCTGTCCATCTACCTGTCGGCGGAGTCATTTCTGGAAAACCGGGAGCTTCTCGGTGCAGGCGGTTGCAGAAATGGGCTGCGCTGCCTCCAGCCAGGCAGCTGGGGCGGTTCCGGCAGCTCATCCCGGTTTTTGCCAGGTCAGGAGGTTACGGCAGAGGTGTCAAATGAACGTCAAGAAGAGCCAAATTGCTTTTCCATCGTAGCCCATAGATCTCCCACAGCAGCATCTCAGCACGGCTGCTTGGCACCCCCACATCTCTCCTGGCAACAGTGAGGGGGCAGCGGGGGGAAGAGAGGAGAAATCAAGCCTCTCCTGGCTGGTAGCGCTGAGCTGTGCAAAGGCAGAGAGCGAGGCTGGTTATTTTTAGGGCTGGAGCAGTGTCTGACCGCTGGTTGACCTTGCAGCTCTCCACTCTGGTGCACACTGGCAGGATCCGAGCAAATTACTCCCCGGTTGCACGCTGAATTAATTTCAAGCCCTAAGGTGGTGCAACTTGGCGATCAATGGGGGAGATGGTGTTTTAGAGCTGCGGCGGGGCACCGCTGCAACAGTCCCGATCCGGAATGATCTCTCTGATGCACAAAGGGCCTCCTTTTTCCCCTTTTCTTTCTGTTTTTTTGTTGTTTTCCGGAGAGTGAAGGATGTTCCTTGGGATACGCTGCCCTCTGCCACCGCATTGCTTTCAGCCTGGCTGCCTGTGGATTCACCAAGTGCCTTTGAGCATCGAGGAAACGCTCTGAATGCTGTGAGTTTCAAATCCTGCAGAAAGCGTGAATTCCGCCCAGCGGCACGCATCCCGCGGGAGAGAGGAATGGGCTTCCACCCGGAGCTCCCAACCTGCGGCATGGGCTGCGGGTGGCCACGGGCCGCTGCAGGGTGGGCGCAGACCCAGTGCAGAGCAGGGAGTGCCCAGTGCCTGCCACCCCGCTGCTGCCCGGGGAGGTGCTTCTGTGTAGCTAAAACTGTCCCCTTCGTTTTTTACATTATTA